ATCTGAATTACCTTAAAAATCATTGCATAATATCCAGTCTCAAGCAAGTAAAGTCACTTTATTTATTAGCTTGACAATTTAATAGCAAGCACAATTGAAAGTAGATATAAACCAAGATAAAATAGCCCACGTCGCATCTCTGAAGTCTTAAAATTGGGCACATAAATACGATAAATAAAGTAAAAGAAGACTGATAACATCACTCGGTTAGGTTACGGATGCAGATAGCACTGTTTGGAATAATAGCAACCCTTTACACCATTTGGACAGCTGAGTGCTTGTTGCAGTGGCGCCTTCCGTGTGAACAAGATACGCATCGATAATAGGGCAACAACGCCGTAAGGCAGGCCACGTCGTATTTAGAGATGCGTATCAATGAAAGCAATAACGCGCCTTTTGAAGATAGATAGCAAATCACCTACTTGATCCTCAGACCAAACAAAGATATACGATCTCAATCTAGAAGCAAGCTAATCCTCACCGTCTGTTTCGACTTTCGAGAGATTGTGAACTAACAATCTATGCCACTAAAATGTATTTCTAAGAAGGTTGAAAAACGTAGCGCAACTCTGTCCGCCAAAATAGGCCCCTGCGAAACCAGGTTCTCCGCGACAATGCACAATTTCTCAGCTTACTATTTGCGTTGCAGAAAAAGTTAAAAGTTTATATTGCTTTACCCCCCCCCCCCTTCTCCCCTCCCCTCCTCTCCACTCATCACGTCAAACCGCAATGATTCCTTTCCTTTCCTAAACGCTCAAAGGCAGCCTGAAACGACACAGCTTTAAATTCATTGAGAAAATCTGCCTAAAACGAGAGTAAATCTAAGATCATCTAAGAAGATCTTCAAACAAAAATATTAGCAACATTACAGGTGTATTTTGACCATAGAGTGGACATCCTCCCAGCCATGACTCCGTCACTGCTAGTATCGAGTCTTGAATCGTGCACTTTAGGCTTGACGCAAGCTTTGGTAAATAGCATAACATAGCTGTTTGCTAAAAACGCAAACCGTTTAGTTGCAATATTCTGTGAAAAAGACCCCATAAAAATTGTCTCACTGTTGATTGTATGAAAGGCTATACGTGATCCGTATTTACTCATACGAATATGCTGTACTAGGGCGTTCAGTGGTGAAAGGTCTTACAAGAAAGGTGACGGTTTAGCGATGAAACATGGTTTTGTACCAACGTCCAATAGTGCCATACACGTTCAGTGTTTATAAACAAAATCACCTTCTGGAGCGCTCGTTCTAGCGCGCAGTCAGGATAAAATTGATCGTAAATTAGGCAGTTTTACATGTAGGACAGCAACACTGGCTGATCATTTCGGACGAACAGATGTCCAAGAATTCTCTAAGGAAAGAATAAGCTTACACGAGTACTTGACCTATATGATGCGATATATAATTGAATGAAGCCACTTTGTGGATGAAGATGTTGAACGATTACATAATTATTGCGGAAAATAGTAGAACTCTCTTCTTTTTTCTTCACAGATAAACCAGATTGAAGAATCGTGTTTAAAGAAGAATATTTATTACCATAGCTAAATAACTTTAGCACCACTTTGATGCACAGTTAACAATAGTTAAAACGTTATTATAACTTTGTCCTATCCTAGTGTAAACTTACATGGATCGCTACTACGTTTCGCGGGCATGGATTCGAAACGCCCTCTAGTGTACTTTCAGTTCTTACTTCAAAAACAATTTCTAGGTCAAAAGGTAATCATAAGCGGGATACTTGCTTTCAAGGACAAACGGTTATTCGGTTCAAACAACAAGATCTTGTGCGATTTAATGCGCCATAATGACCATACAGTGCCTAATTGCCCAAATAAACCGTTTGTCATCAGGTTTCCAACGTTAGTTTCTAATCACATTGATGCTGTAAGCAATATGGTAATAGCAGAGAAGGTAATTAATAAGATGTTAGTTTGATATTCCAGGATAAAATGACGCTTCAGTAAAAAAAAAAATAGCGGGAAGTCTCATAACCAAATCAATGGGTTTGCAGGTTTTGATAAAAATGCGGATGCGGATTGTACTCTTTTTTGTAATACTATTCGATCAACCTTCAAGTTACGCGCTCGTCTGCTACCATGGGATAAGTATGATAATTCTGTATTTCGAGTTCTATTGCACGTTCGTATTGCTGCGCACCCCTCATTAAGATGAAAATTGATCAAAAAGTCGGGAATAAGGCCGTAATCGAACATCTGACATGGGGTGGCAGGCGTTACACTAAATATCTAGTGATGAGTAAATGGTTGGTTAGCGCTTCTTACGGTCGCTGTTTAGCGTAGAAACAAAGGGCGGTTAGTAGGGTAGGACACACTGCGCTGCTGCCAGATGTCCAGGAGACAACGATCCGATTTGAACGCTGCGGAAATACTCGTACTGGCTGGTAAGTAAAAGTCTATGTGAAAAACTCTAATGAAAACACTGTCAGCCAAAAAGAAAGCGCCGCTAACTGTGTCTTGTGCTGCAGTAGAGGCGTTAACGAACCGAAGAAGAGGAGTTAATTATAAAGTCATACAGAACTTGGTTGTAGTAAGGAACAGGCCCTGACCTCTAAGTCTTGTTGAATAGCATGGTAAGCCAAACCTGACAGGCCTCACATGTCAGCTGCTCGCTGGGCGGTCCGTGGCAGAACCTTTTTTAGTGGACAGATGCTGAATGCCGACTAATATGCATTAGCTATCCTTCCAAGGGCCGCCAATAGGAGATAAAACCGATTGTATCGTTCGTGACAAAATCGAGTGCAGTTACGACGGAGATACTAGAAAACCATATAGAGTCATCATGATTCACACCTTCCCGTTCGACACAATTGAAATACGGCTATTGGGATCCAAATTCATCGGCAATTCAGGAGAAGTTATGTTCATTCCACGAACCGCTATGAAATCATACCGTAAAACTTGAAACTCTAGGCGGCTGAAACCTATTTGTGCGGCTGAAGGAAAATATTATACGGTTATTTCTAAACACTCTAACTCTGCGTACTTTTATGTTTTTGTATAGGTATATACGATGAAACGTGACTCGCCGTCAATTATTATTATGACTATTGCATCGGTAGAGGTAAACTATTGTGATAACAGTTGGGGAATAGGTGTGAGCAACTTTAAAAGAGGCACTATACGAACAAATCAATTTGTCGGTCAAGTTGGAGTAGTTCGAAATGGGTAGCAGCATGACGTATTATAAACGAATCGAAGCCCAGCGTCTAGCGTATCAAAAAACCGTTTGCACTCGCTGGGTAGTTAACGGAATTACGACCTCTAAGATGGACCTATAGCTCACCGAAGTCCAACTACGTCTAGAGTGCTCAATAGCAGCAGTTTGTCGTCTGTATATTCCAGCTTGCTTCGTGGCTACGTGGGTATCTATATTGAGAACGCCTATCATTCAGAGCTACGACTCCGGTTTAGCTCACAGCCGGGTTTTTTTCACTCGATCCGACCGGCAAGGCATAATTTGAATAATATTTCGAATTTTACGTTTGGCACCGCTACAACGGATAGCAGGCTAAGGAATTTACAGTACAATACAGGTTAAAGGTTTAATACCTATTTCGCCTGTCGAAACTTAACATTCTTCATTTTCTATGGGTATAATAACTTGACAGACATTTAGTCTTGAGGGTATATAATATTGTATTTTAGTGGTCGGTTGTGGATTTGTAATGAAGCCCATTTAGTGAGTTATCTCCAAGTGAAGCGTCAACGCGATGGTAAAACTGCTGAGTAGTTCAGGCCGGTGCAGTAAATAAAATTGATTGAACGTCGTTTGGGTTTACTGATCTTCTGGAATTCTATGGCTCTTTGTTTATGCGCCTACAACAGTGCAGTAGTGGCGTGTTTTTATAGGTATTTATTTATTATTATATTATAGTATATAAGTGCGCTGTATCGTTCTATTGTGACTGAACAACAGAAGAGTAGCTCTTTTATTCTGTCACACCTAGTCAACTGCTTTATTTGCCCGACGGACTAGATTCTAGCATAGAAATCGGAGCTCTCCTGGACGAATTGTTTTAGTTTTATAGCTGGCCGTTATTATCATTAGATTACTAAGAAAACTTGCTTTGTTTGCTAACTTGCATTTTGCAGAGGAGTCAACCTCAACGTTTGCTCTGGTAATTTAATTATTCAGGCTATGAACACTTCAAGCATCGAACTGATTCACGCAATTCAAAGTCGACCTAAATATTGGACCACTTTGTTTAAAGTACTATAATAATAATAATCAGTGGGCATAGCTTTGTTTAGATGCATGGGCCTGAAGCAACTGAGGGCATATGTCGCCATGTGGGACTCGAACCGGAGCTGGTGACCGTTTCAGCTTCGCAGCCGAAAACCTAGCCGTCCTGGCCATCACTATGGGTTTTATGCTTGACGAATCTCAACTTTCAGTTTTAGGATCTAATTTTACAAGACATTGTGCCGATCTTCTAACATTGATTGGTAGATTTTCTGTTGTCTTAAGGTGTCCGGGTTTGGAATTGTCGAGATAATGGGACGGTTTTTTTTATCTCTTTAGCCTGCCAAAGTCCTATACCCTGTAGCATTAACGAATGTACATTCTACGTAACAGGTGATTTCCAAACAGCTACATGACTTTAGACAAATATAACTGATCGGAAAATTTCTTCGAACTTCGAAATTTTCTTCGAATACTTTTCGCTTCTGTAAATACACACATACGTCCGTTAGTTGTTTTCATTCAGTCACACGATTTCATTAATGAGCAGGTTACATAAGAGTATTTTATGTACACCCCATAGGTGTCATCATTAGATTCACCAGCATCATAAACCAGGTGACCATCGCAATGAGCTAAACTGCTATAAAGCGCAAATCCAATGGATAGCCTAGCTATGTAGCGTAATGTCTGTTTCACGCTTCGTCGATGAGACGGAGTCATTATATTTGTATTCAAAACCTTCGTGTATAACGAGATATAGCGTACATAATTTCGCAGCTGTCCAACTTACCTTCGACTACCGTCAGAATGAAGCCTACCCCTAAAAAGGGTAGGACAAATGTCCTCATTTCAGCGTCACTTAGTTCGATTCACTGCCCGTAAGTCACTTTTACCTCCTTTTTTCCTTACACTCCCTTTTTGATCAGTAACTACCGAGTCATCTAATCAACCATAACTGATTGAGAGATCAAAGCCCATGGAAAAGACCTGTCTTATCTAAACGTGTCTTCTCACAACCCGGATGACTTGTTTTTCTCGATTAACACTGCAAATCGGCGGCGTCTGGTATCTCTCACTGCGAATTGACAAGCCTAGGGAACGACAACTGTTGCCGAAGGGCTGTCAGTGACGTTGACATGACTTGCATAGTTATTGCAATTACCCAACAACGGCAGCAGCTGCAGCAGCAGGTAGGCATGCAGACTTCTCTTTCGGACAGAGAGATACACACTTCATTTGTTCTCGCACGCAGTGGTCACCACCTGGTACCCTGGATGATGGCTGCGGTGGTTAAAGTGGCTTGGCGCCTATAGGTGCTTCCATTCGCAGAACGCCTTTACAGCTGCGCCTAGCACTAGCGGTGCTGCTGTTTGTAATTAGCGTACTGTACTTTGCTAATTGATGCGGTACCGCCACTCACTAGCGGCCTATTACCCGCTCTATTTATCTGTCTGTTTGTCTCTCTCTATGCTTACCCGACTGTTATGTTTCTTCACGCGGGCGCACGTACCTTCCGCCGCTGGCAGTGGCTACCAGATGCACTTTTCGTATTGTTCGTTGTAGTGGACATAGTGGCCCTCGCCCACCAGGGCCGCCCCGACGTCGGGAAAGGACCGAGAGAACAACGAGTTGAACACGAAGGAAGAAAAAGACGACGAAGATCAAACCGCAATGAGCAAAATGCTTTTCTACGGTTGCCGCTGGCATTTGTTGTGCGAGGGCGGTAAAGCTGGCAACGCTAGAACAAAGCGAAATGTTACCCTTACCGCATCCTCGTGAAAAGGTTTGTAGGTACCTCCTGCTGTAGGTATTCACGTAACAGCACGTAGGAAGCGCTCCATACGTAGTCGTCGTTTGCAAACGACGCTTAGGCGTTGGGCGACGAACTCCGTATCGTAGAGGATATAGTGACATTTATCAGTCAATAAGAAAAATCGACGGCGACAGAAAATCAATTGCAGGGCATAGCGAGATAGGTTGATCGGCGATAGAACAGTTCATACTATAACAATTTTCTAACTCAACCAATGTAAATACCAGCAGTCATTCTCATTCATCACGCTACTACTTATTCTATGGATTTAGCACAGGTAGATGTGTCATATATGAAAAAGATATGATGATGAAATGTCGCTTGAGCCGGATGTATTATTAGATACCCAATTTATAATATTAATAACTATTTTCATTGCCAAACCGGACACAGAAGGGTGAAATGAAGTTGTGTATCAACGTACCAGTATGTAATTACTATATATAGATAGATATATATATCTATATATACATATATATGTTTCGTTCTCAGAAATGGTATTCGATGAGAGGAAGTGCTTCAAGAATAATATGAACTAATATGTAGCAGAAGATTTATATTATCACAGGGTATAACCTGGAACTTACAGGGAGACGTTTGTGGTTCTGGTCAGAACTTAAGCTTGCGTTTCGTTTTCAACCAACCCAAAACAATTGCCTGTATCTTACAGTAGAAAAAACACACTAGCTTCGGAGACTTCATATTATTACTATTATTATGTTTATTGAGGAAAAGATTTCGAGCTCCACAAAATCAATTTTTTGGCTCTCGAAACCCCTGATTCAACCGACACTTGATCGAAATTTATGCAGGTCAATCTTATTTTTTCGGCCTATCTATCTCAGTTTTCGACTATTTATTAAAGGATTACGGTAGATATGTGTACATGGTAGGATTTCATAAAATGAAAGAACAAGCACATGGAAAACTGGAGCGGGTTTTTGCTACCGTAAAAAAAATCCACGCGGTAAGAGCAGTAATCCCATCCCTTAGAAAGTTGATGTTATTCGATTCTCTCGACGCAACATATTATACGAACTAGATATTAAAGACACTCTAATTTATTCAAGCAAATAGATTCGGCAAAGATGAACTAAATTTTTCTCTCGTAAATGGTGAACACTATCCCTTGTTAAGTAATGCGCACTCGTAACAAGTTCTATATAAAACAAAAAAGAAGTCATCCCGTAAACGGTAGCTGTTTACGTCAAAATCACCATAGAATGAGAGCAGCCGAACGTGAGTACGCTAAGTATCTTATGTTTCCTCTGGCGTGATTCGTAATATAATAACAATAATAAAAATATATTACAATGATAGGTAGACCGGGCAACTTTAACTTAAAAACTACTTAGAATCCAAAATAAATTGCCATCGCTTAGTTAAGGTGAATTTCTGATGTGAAAAAGATTGTTCGAATTTTGAGAACGCGGACTCGATTCACGTTAATTACTACTTTTGACTTTCTCAAAATACGCCCCCTACCCATTACTTTCACATTTGCCCGATATTAATTTACTACCTAGTGATACAGTGCGATTAAGTATAGAGCTAACTACCCTTTTTGTACCAATGTATCGCTGTTTTTTTAGAAAACCCCCTAGGAAAATAATGATGATACTTGCGTTGTGCTGGAGAAAGAAATAGCCGAATATTCTTGCAACGCACATATAATACAATGCTCATGCTAAGGAGAGGATTGCTGATTGAAACGGGTTCATTAGTTTTGGCCAGCCCTCGGAAACAAGCGTAAGGAGTGGCAAGTAAGTGTCGGCCAAGAGATATGCCCCCACCTGGTCCTCACACGGAGCCTAAGTCGCCTTTGGTCCGTTATCTACGCCAGAAACATAACTGAGGCCTTAAACTATTCTAGCTCATACAATTAAATAATTCAGAATGTGAAAAAATTACGTCGACAACAGTCGACGTTTCCACAAAAATGTGCCACGGGTATTTTCTAGGAAAGTACATTAACTGAAAATGACTAAAAAATCAGATGAAAAACGTTAGCTAACTTGTTCCGACACTGCTTCAAGTACACTAACTATTAAAACTGGCAAAACCCGGTCTGTTTACGCTATATAGTGTAAGAAATTGTGCTGAGTGGTATTTGGTCCACAAACTGGGTCTTCGTGTACGGTATAGCAACCAGCTAATGCTAATTAACTTTCAAACTACACAATTCCTATTTTTGGAATTTTTTTTTGAAATTTTACGCATAATTAATAGACAATGTTTGTTCTTAAAATAATTAGTAGATAATTCATCAATATCTATGAAAACCAATATTGTATCTTAGCCGCAGCTTTATGGTAATAGAAACCATCAAAAAGAAATTAGCTGCTGTGTTTCGCTCGTCAACAATTTTCGTGTTTTCTACATCCGTGTTAAGATACGAGATGTAAACCTCCCTCATTAGGAGATACACGTCATAGTTATAAAAGTTCCAAATTGATACCCGTTGATTTAGCACTACATTGAGCATGTAGCAGAGACTTTGAAACCAAGAGCCAAATGATCTTACGTTTGCCAACGATCAATAACGGTCACTAATGGCTTGCTTTCGGTCGGTGACTCATCAAATAACGGTTGATTCAAAAGAGTATCCAGTTATTTTCTCCTGTGATCCTAGTGGCATTTAACTATGTTAGCAGCACTACATGGGCCCAGTTACGGGCTTTTTCACTAGCTCACCAAACATCTTCCGATTTCTTTTTTCAGCCAAACTATTCGAAGTGAGTGAGCTATCACTGACGTCGCGCACGATGATTCAGACGCAACAGAGTGATCGAGCAGTGCAAAGCTATCGAGCCGACGATTGGTGGGTGCCGTGATCGGTCGACATAAATACGAAATGCCCAGATTGGACTCGCCGCACGAAACAGTAATTACGGCAGCGAATTGTGACGTTATCTTACACGGCTAGATGGAAAGCACAAAGGGAAAAATATGTTTCTTGTTAACTACCAGACAGGGATTTGAAACAACGTAATTACATTATAAACAGAACTATTAAATAAAGCTGACTGCTTGTTAATTCAAACGGTAAATGAAACATGTTCATTGTTCCTTAAGATAGTCGAAAATACTTGTTATGCATAAGTATAGAAAGGTTCTTTCAAAGAAATGGTAAAAGTGTTTCAATGTATTGAATGAGTATACAATTATAGATGGCTATTAAGTCGCATACACACAGACAGATATAACTGTGCCTAGCTCTCTAGCATTTTGTAACTCCAAAACGATCATCACTCGATTTTCCGATCGGAGCCAGTATCTTTAAAAAATCCAGGTACACACACGTTCTTATTTATTTTTCACGTGAACTTAATAGGCAAGCTCGGAAGTAATGCGGCTGCTTTACTTGATTCCAGCTGTGACTAGCAGGTTTATAGTGTTTAGGTATTGTTTACCTATTAAGTGTCGAGCACTCGTTGCAGGCATACTCGGCAAACCCATTCACTCTGAATTCTTCATAATTTAATGTTTCGAATTTTACCTCCGGTACCGCCGTCAGGTATTCTGTTGGGCCTTACCAGCACGAAACGAAGTAGGTCTGCACCCGAAGCCCAAATCGGACAAACACGTTACCCACTATGCCACTAAAGGTAGCAATTTATGTTGCCCGAATCAGATAGCTTATTCTCAGAAAGACACGAAATTTCGTTCGAAAAAAGAAACAACAACAAAAAGTCAACAGGTTCCATTGTTTCTGAAGTGACATTTATACTCGTTGCTGCTTTACTTCAATACGCTAACATCCATGGCAGTTCGCTGCTAACTTGAGCTTAAGGAGCTGGTTGTCTGGCACCGAGCCGACCAGCAATACTGAGTACCAATGCTGTGGTCACTATTCAGTTTATTTTTTATTGTACAGTACAATGTCGCTATCATTTGTATTCATTATTTTTCTCTACTGGAATTTAGCATTTTACAAAGCCATTAGTACCCTCGCGCACCTTTCGCGCGTCTTTGCTGCTCTTCGAACTCAGCTTAGTTTACGCATCACACGACGGAGTCCTATACTCGTGCAGGCCGTGTTCTCTGGCCCACAGCCGTAGCCGGTCGCGCACACAGACGGCGGCTGTACAGATTCGTGTCTCGAAGTCTAGCACTTTCTGCAATTGTCTGCTCATCTGTGTGTTTGTCTACTATCTAGTATTAGAACGGATGCATGTGTTGGGACCGGCAATTTCGCTGTCCATTTTGACAGCGGTACGAGCGCCGTCAACAGCAATGAACGAGTCAGAAACTCGTGCATCGTTCGACGGAAATATGAGGCAAGCAAGGGCTCTACTAGTAAGGAAGTAGGAAAAAAGACGGCTGGGAATGGAATACACCGGCGAACAGCGGCGGCGGTTGGCAACGATCATCCGTCTTCTTCCTATTCGAGAAAATACTGGCGTCTACAACTGGATGCATTTGTCGCTCACGAACTCTTGCCGGAGAGCGTGTGACCATGCCCAGAAGCGCTCCGGCAGTAGCATTATTACTAATGCTGCCAGTAGCAACAGCTCTAACAAAAATGGTGACAATAACAACATCCGTAATGATGGCTAACAACAACGACAGAGAGCCGGCTGTCCATTACTCTTTGATAACTGTGGATGTATGCACGTACGTTTTGTATGTGTGTGTGTATGCCTGGGAGCGCTATGAATTAACGGCGGCAGGTCATCTGTTTGAGAGACGCGTCTCGTCGCTACGCGCGACAATGGGGTCGAAAATGGGACTACATGTGTTTTGTAACGACGTACACTAAGTGCACAGATAGCGTGCGAAGGGCCGTCCACTCGCTTGCGAACTAGAACCATGTGTCTGTTTATAGATTTGCACGTTCATTCATCCTCTCACGCCCTTACCGTTTCGAAAATTCGGAGTAACGACGTTTTCTTCAAAGGGAAAACTGAAAATATCAAGTAGAATGTGGGCGAGTAAACAACGCCGGCAAAAATACCACATAAAATGAAAACGATATGCTATAGTCGCATTTTGCTGATAACGCTCTCGTTAAATTAGACAGCAATGGAAATTCTATAGATTCAGTTAATTCCGCCTGGAAAAACTAACGATCAATATATATATGAAATATAACAGAATATGATGTCTAGTATTTTAGAACATTAGAATTAAATGAGTCTTACTTTTTCTTTTAATTTTACCACGAGCTTAATAGCAGCTAATTATGTTCCAGGTGTACACTCAAACTAACTGACACAATCATCTTCATGTATTACTAAAACACAGTAAATAGGACGTTTCCAAATATTCGGCGGATACTAGATTATAGACTTATCGGTAACGAGTTTTTCATCAAGTACCTCATTAATGTCAGTTCTGCCAAAAACTTTTATCGAAGCAGTTAGCTGATGTCTATAAGTCATCCCCTAGATACAGGAAATGAATCGGGGTATTTTACCTTAATATTCATATATTCGGTCTTTCCATGTTGTCTCGTCTGCGTAACACAACATCAACAAAGCCACCCACTGTTATAAAACCAAAATAGGAGGAAATTGCTTGAGTCGAAAACACTATCAGTCTATCATGAAGGCTTCAGTTACTTCAAGAACGCATGTACTTGAGCCATATCTCAACATCCTTATGGTTTCCTGGAAATGTATTATAATATCCACATAACAAAGGCCATTTAGGTCCGATGCTCCTGCCAGTTTTTAGCAATATTAATTTGACTTGATGTTTCCAACGAATCACTAAGCGTCCCGTACAGTGATATATTTACTGTGGTGGATATCCGACACTTCACTCATCTGGACATAACTCTAACCTATTCTGGAATTTTGAGAAATATGCTTCTCAAGATAAGTCTGACATTTACAGGTTTCAGGCGCCCTGAGAGAAAATTTATTACGGAAATAGATGGAACTGTTATCACTCTTGAAACAGTTTGAAAATTTTTGGAAGCTGTCCAACTCTGCAAAAAAAAAGTTACCCTTCATTAAGCTTTAAAAAAACTAGTTATTTCCATGGGCTGTTCCGCTACCTGCTTCAACAAATCAATAACTAAGCATCACATATCTTCTTAGAACGCACAGTGACGTATACATCGAATATAGGTAAGATAGATGACAACAAGCAGACGATACGCACTTTTTACGATTACTGAATTCAGCGCAGAAAAAGTTGCAAGATTCTACATTCACACCAACATATTTACATGCGACCATATGTATTGTTCAACATCCGTAACGGACGACGTGTAACGTATCAAATGCGCCTTATATATCCTACCCGTAACACTGAGATGGATCAGATTTTCTGTATGGGGTTAATTCGGTGGCCCCTGCTAAGCATTTGTAGATCGCAAAATGTTTACTACAGGAATAATCATCGTCATCTGCATTATATGTATTGAAAGCAGTTTACCTCCCTTTTCATTTACGCAGAGTGGTCAATATCGACACCACTAACATAAGCGTTCACGTCAAACAGAAATGTAACTAGGTGGAGTGTAGTTTCGTTGAAAGGTGGAGCCCGACTTCTTAAAGCTGATTGTTGGTGGTTCGTTTTTCATCAGCAGGCTCCTCTAACGAATACTCTTTCACGAAACTTCCCTAGTAGAGAACTTGGCGTGCCAACAGCGAACTAATGAAAATAGAAAGAATGGCTGGCCGACATCATGATCTTACGTTACTTTGTCGTTACGTGCAAAGTAAGATCGAAAGGTTGACCCATTAATAGTAAAGAAGGTAAAAACGGATCTAAGAGAAGACAAAGAACGCCCTACTAATTATCTCAACAAGTAAATGTCAGGCACTCGAATGAAGGAGTATCGTTTTTATCTACAAACTTCCTGCTAAAGAACTTCCTGTCCGTACGAGCTTTTACTTTACACGAAAGCAAATTTTCAGTCACAATATTGTATATATTTATACTGTTCGGAAATCTTTATCCAAACCATCAGTTAATGTTGGTTTACTCGCTTATTATTGTGAAAAAGTTAGATTCAGAATGTTTGAAATATTTGCTTTTTAGGAATGCAATGTTGACCCAGAAACATTCGTGGCAATATCTCGTTGAACTCGCTGTATCTTGAACGCATGTAAATGTAGGGGACGTTTCTTTGTTAATCTCAAAAACCGTTTATCAGTATGCTTAGTTTTGTAGCATGCATAAAACGAGACTGGCTTGAATATGGGTTGACGGCGCATTTTGATGTAAATGTTCATGTTTGCGGAGCACAGCAAGAAACACTTGGTCTTTTTGGCAGAGTCTGTTTCCCAGGTGTTTAGCGTTGTGGTCCTAGAATGATTGCGACTTGTATTAGGCTTGGGGTATAGGTCAAGGCCGTACAGGTCATCTTACTTATGACGTCAACGTAAAACGCTTCGTAATATAGACATCCTGCTATAGAATGTGTTGTTCCATTGAGATCACCACAGCTGCATCGCAGATTAAATGGTTGTTAATGCTGCCGACGGTTCCGAGCCATTTCCGATCTGCTCTTTTATCATTTTTACTCTTCTTACATCATGTGCAGCTCTGACGTGCCACTTTGCCTCCAGATCGCTATGGCTTCGATCAGCTTCTGATAAGCCTTAACGAGTAATAACCCTTGATGTTTATTGAGGTGTCTCTATATACAGCGTAGGTTAATCTTTTTCTCCGGGAAAAGCGACTCGACCACTGTCAGTGTCCGCTGGCTTTTTCGATCTTCGATTCGTAAGCAAAGCGGACGTTAAAATTAATGTAAACGTCGACGTTAGCCAATAGACGAACGTGCATCTGAAGGAATGTAGCAGCAGCAGCACTGAAGCATCATTCTCTGTCCTAGATGTTCCTTACCAGGTCCCCTGTTCAGTTCGGTTTTGTCTATGGCAAATGCACTAGTTTCAAATATCAAAGATAACAGCGGTCCGAGGACTCTGGGCGAGTTCTTTATCGATTCGGCTGTTCTTGCAAAAACTCATGCTTTCTTGACCCGTTGACTA